TGATCATATAGTGAAATTAGCATGAAAAGCGGCTATAATATTACTTCATTATTTCTTTGCTGTAATCAGGATGGGAACTAATGGGGGAGGCGAGGTTAGTTCACAAACCTCCTTCTTGCACCTGCAAATCAGAGTTGTACATACTTTTTGCTATCTTCAAGGCCGCGGTGAGCGAAGCAGTTGCAGAGGAGTTACAAAGAACAAACACTTTCTCTTATCTGTTCTACTATACAGAGCCAGCAATTCTCCACAAAGCGGTTATGTCATCTTATAACTAAAATAATCAAAGTTTAAGGCATATATTTTTTTCTGATTCCACAGCCCCCCTCCCCAGCTGGGCAGCTTGTCCCAGCCTCAATCCTTCCCTTGCTGTGGGGATATTGATCTGCCCCCATACCCCTTCCCTCCACCCACTGCAACAGATTTACCAGCTGAAGACAGCCAGCTGTGTCCAGCAAGGTGAGGAATGCTGCCTGTTTAGTCTATGGCCGAATCTCCAAAGCAGTGCCGAATCTTCAGATCCGATTCAGCCAAACAAAATCACTGATTTGAATCACTGTCCCTCTGAATCCGTCGAATCCGAATCCAAAGCGAATACTTGGTGCTTCACATAGGCCTAAAGTACAGTATATTAACCTGTATAGTGTCATAACCCAAAGGTATGATTTTGTGTGTGCTTCGGCACTAGAATTATTCCTGCTAAATTGCAGCTTCATTGCACGGTGGAGTTTTCTGCTGCAGAGGAGAACCCCGGTGCAAGGGAGAATTTCCCGCCAATTTGTAGCTTCCTTTGCCGGGTGCATTTCTCAAGTTGCAAGAGAAATGCATGGTGCAAAGGATTTCCCGCCACCCGCATGCAAATTTGTTCTCCGCTATTGGCTAGATCTTAATTATTCCCATGTGGCGGGCACAGGCCTGCTAGCCGTATAAGAGGCTTGAGCAGGTTCCGCCCAAGCCGAAGAGGACTCCACATCCATCTCGTGGGGACTCTGGGTACACGGCAGGGTAATAGAAACCCTGTGTGAGATTCAGAGGAGTTTGGCGACCTGATCCATCGCCCACCTCTTTCTGTCTTCGAGTGATAATTTTTTATAAGACGTATCTACGAAGTTTCTGTTTTGTTGGCGCGCTTGTCCAGGGCATCCGGAGCTGTTTCCGTGGAGCCTAGCAAACTCCACGTGAATGTTCGTGTTGTTTTGTTTGTAACTGCAACTCAAGCAAGTTTTCCAGTCTGCACCGCAACCATCTTCGGTGTAAGTAAACAATCTTTAAATCTACCATTACGAGTCCGTGCCTAATTCTAGCATGTCGCCCGTTCTCTCCGACCCCGCGTGCCCGGGCTGCTGGCCACAGCCTGCGCAGAGCACAAAAAAGGGCCCGGCTCACACCCGGCCCGCACATAGAACATATGGCTGCATTGGTGGTGGTAATGTAAATATGACAGGGTGGATGGATAATACAATTGCAGGACTTGTGTATTATCTGCAGAATTGCTGAGGTCTGATATGGGACAGTGCAGTTTTGGTTGCTTTGTAGACTTTCAGTATTTCTTTGATCTGCTTCCTAAAGCAGATGCATTTGGCAGTTTGTTGTTCTTGTTTGTATAATGCTTCAGCCCACGTTCGAAAGGGTTGTACTTCTTGCTTATTTCTCAGATATGGAAATATTTGATACAACTCAGAGTTTGCTTGCTGTCCTTCAAAAGGCTCACATTTTCATATTCTCTCACTTTATTTTTCCCTCTTGGATGCAATCTTAGCGTACTTGGTTAACAATTTTGTAATTAAGCAAGGAATGAAGGACAGCTGGGACTGCTTGGCATCTTTTAAGGGGGTGGAGGGATGAGCCACAATGGATGTAGTTCAACATAAGAAGGCATTCTATCTCAGAAATGCAAATATGTAGATGTGCAGCATTATAAGAAGCATTACTAATAAACTTTTAAAGCCAAAACTTTTTCTCAGTGTTTTTTTAATATGATGCATTGTACGTTTATTGAAAACATAAATTTCTGTTTGTCTATCTGCATAGCTGTGATGTCAGATTTGATCATTTTACTAGATTTATTTTTTCAGAGTTAAATAAGAAAGGTTTCTTTCTGGCTTATACTTCTCACAGGCTACAAACAGATGTCACATTTATCTCAGGGTAAACCCTTTTATCCTTGAGACAATGTGTAGTTTTTCACATGTCTATGTATGTTGTCCAGGGATAAATCCTAAAAGTTCATGGGATAAGAAGTACAACTAGCTGCAGTACAACTAACACATCTACATGTACAATTAATGTGATACAATAAACTCTAGAGCAATTTGTGCTGGAGTAAACTGCTCCTGGGCACAGTATCTACATGTGCACCCAGGACAGCAGCAATTTGAGCCAGAGCGGAGTAGGCCCCTGTCTGGCTGGGCACAATTTATGCCTGTGGTAAGCATTTACACATGCATTTCAGCACAATAAACTACTCCACCTTAGGACAGTACTATTTTACAGTGGGGTTAGTTTACTGCGCCATAATACCAGCGTACATGTGGATGGTAATGCTTTACTGCAGAGCTAATTAGTTAACTTGGCAGTAAAGTGCACGTATTGATGCACCCACAGTTTATCTGGGGGCATTGCAAGGTGCATTGGAATGGTTATTCTGGGATTGCAGCATTAAATCCCTAGCAGATAAGTGACTGTGTTCAGCTGCCCGGTAAACCCTAATTAGAAGGGCAAAGTGTGTGTAACGTACCAATCCTGAGATATTTCTGTCTCAGGACAAACACAGGCACAGCTTGTCCTGAGACAAATGCAATGCCAATAGAGATTTTATAAATCCTAACTACAGAGATTTTTATAATTGGAACTCAGATAAGAAATCTGTTTGTGAGCAACTTCCAAAAGAACTGTGCATTCTTATATAGTCGCATTAGATATGTGGTGCTAACACAGGGGCAGGCAGAGTCCAGCCCGTGGGCCAGATCCGGCCTGCCACGGACTCAATTTCCCGGCAGCCCCTGCCTACATCCCTGCAGGCAGTTTTCATAGAGACCCCAGGAGCGGCATGGGTATGACAGCACGTGGCCAGGGTTTCCACAGAGACTAGTACTGGCAGGGTGCATGGTAGGTCAAGGAGCTGCTCTGGGGCCGGGACCTTGCAGTGGTAACAGCATGGTCTGGAGCTGGGGCGGAGCTGTGATCCGGTACCCGCACATCCTGAGTAGGGGTATGCAGGCAGTGGATTGCAGCTCTGCCTTGGCTCTGGACCACGTTGTCACTGTTACAGGATCCCAGGTCTGGCTCCAGATCAGCTCCCCACCCAGCTGCACGTTTCTGTGGAAATCCTAGCCCTTCCTGTGCTTTCACAGCTGTGCTGCTCCTGGGGTCTCCATTGAAACCAGCTGCAACAATGTGAGCAGAGTCTGCTGGGAAATGGAGTCTGGTCACTGTCTGGATTCGCCATTTTGCCCACCCCTGTGCTAACAGGACTGAAAAGTATTAAAAACTTCATAAGTTACCTCAGATGTAAACTAAGTATATACCCCAAGAGCAGATTTGAGTAGTCATCTGTGTTTTGTTTTGTTTTTACAGTAGTCGCACATTTGAGCGTACTCGCACTTCAGGGTATAGAATATTAGATGTAGCGTGATGTTTTGCATCAGAGGTGTCAAAGATATAGCTCATGGGCCTGCCCTGGGCCTTGGACTGCTATCTTCCGGTCCACAGTGCTGCCTGTAGCTCTCTGAGTGGGCCTGTGCAGCCAAAACTGCCTTGGCCCTGCACCCTGCATGCAAGGCATAGAGCTAGTTTGGTGCATGCTGCGTATGTGTTGCAAACAGTACATGGAGTAGGGCCAGTTCGGCCCTTTATGCTCGATTTGAAGCTGGTCTGCATTGGATCTGGGGACTGGCTCACATGATGGGTGAAGGGTGCAGGTCTCATCCAGAGTGGGGCATGCATGCCACATGCAGCACATGTCCTGGACTGGCTCTGCACACCATGTGGTTTGTGTAGGGTCTGGGTTCAGGGGCGGGCACAGACATGGGTGAACTGGGTGGCCACTTGGGGCTCGGACAGAAAGGGGGCCTGAAAATGGCTATTATTATTATCATTATCTTTGGTGAAGTGAGATCCTATACTAAAAGTTCACCCGGGGTCACCAGGAATCTGGGTACGGTGCTGCCTGGGTTGGCATGAGCTGTATGCGGCATGTAGGGCTGGAGCTGGTGCACATGGCAGTGCATGCATGGGGCAGTCAAGGGTACACACTGAATGTGGCATCCCCACAGGACTGGATGAGTTTGATACCCCTGCTTTAGATGAAAGTGTGTACGCTAGTTATGAAAATGCAGATGGAGGTGGGGAATTGTTGTTGCTACAGAATCAGTTTCAGGCCTATGACCTTTTCTGGACACTAGGGTCTTGTCTGAAGCTAGAGAAAAGGAGTAGTAGTTTTTCCTCTGAGATAATGCATTGTGGATTAGCCGAATCAGCATCAGAGGGTTTCCTTAATTTTGCTTTTTTATCATTTTCTGTCTATTAATAGGAAATGCATAATATTTACACCAACACTAGGAGACAATTCTGATAATTTTAAAGGAGTTTTTTGTGAACATACAAGGAGCTAGTACAAACAAAGGCTGTATGTTTTTATTGAGTTTTTCTCATAAACTCTTATGTTATTGTTGAAACGCTGGCATGTTAGTACCAATGAGAGTGCTAGTGCAGATTAGCTGCCCATACTTTTTCCAGTTGTTGTCAGGATCTGCCTAGGAGGCAGTTGGTTTACAACAGGATTATCATTGTTCCTGGTGACTGTGAGAGGTTTTCAGGGGAAAATGGTTAATGTAGTATAGATAAAAATCTGTGGCTTATGTTTGCATAAAAAGTCCCAAACTGGTACCCTAATTGCTGAATGCTCCCTGTGAAATCTGCTGGCAGCTTTGAGAGAGATAAGGGGAGACAGATAACTGTTTGCTGTTTTACAAATTTCCTATTTCTTTTTTTACTTTTAG